GATTTAGCTCCCTACTGTGTCTACTGGCTGGCAGAAGCTCTTCTTGGTATCCAAAGTCTTTCTGAATCCTGCAGATATCTTGGATCACACCCAATTAATTTGCATGAGAAACTGATGCTCTTTTTTGACTATGACAATTCCAAGAACAGTAATAATATTTTTATTCTTAATAAAATAAACAAAAAATAAGAGACTTTCTTACTTCAAGCCGTCACATGTACTGATGACTGCAGTTGAGTCAATGTCATTCTGGATGCGTCCATGATAATAGCAGTGATCCTGTATGGAAGCAAGAGGACTACACTGGTTAAAGTTTGTTTGCACTGTGATTTGATGAGCAAAAGTACAGTTCCAATATATTCCACAACATCAATGAAACAATGAATAATGAATAATAATCAACTATTTCAAAATATTTTGATTGAGGAGAAAAGGAAATCTGCTTAGTTTTGATTGTCCCCAAATGAGCATAGCATAAACACAAGTCTCCATTAAAGGAAGTCACACTGCAGGTAGAGCAACACTGATAGCAAAACACTAAGAAGTTTTGGGCAGACAGTCAACAAAGGACTATAAAATGTTCTGTTCAAGTAAAAAGACCATTTTTCCACCAACCTTATTTTCTTGGAGATCAAACTCTAGGATCACTTCAGGATTTGCTGAATAACTCTCAAACTATGTTCTAAAATCCTCTCATAATGTAGGAAAAACTCCACATTTATTATGTTATCAATTGATTGTTATTTCCTTGAACCCACACAATAAAAACTTTCAGAAACACATCAAAGATATAAATATGCTACAGTAACACTATGTTAAGGTTGCATATATAACCAGGAAGACTCCAAATGGTGTTGAAATTTGATTCCTAGCATCTTCCAAAAAAAAAAAAGAGTCATGTAGAAATTAAAACTAAAAGATTTCTTTTACAACCAAGAAAAGAGCAGTTGGTATGACCTTTGAACATGCTAATGCACAAGTAGAGAATTTTGGGAGAGAGAGCATGCACTTTTACATCAATTTGGGGGAGGTGGCAGAGGACCTAAGGAACCATGTTACAGTTGTGATATTATAGCTGGTTTGACCCATTTTACTGTGGTGACATAGAATGAATGTCTGTATTCTGTAGAAGGAAATTCTTGGTATTCCAAAAAAATTTGATAGATTTTTCATCTATAAGTGTTCAAAAACCAAAGTAGATAATCTAAACCGGATGTTCTCATAATAAAGCTATTTGTAGGGCTTGCTCCCCAATTTGTTCACTTTTAATCAGTAAGAAAGAACTGGTTGGTTGAGATATTGCCCTATTAATTCAATAACTAGAATAGTGGGTTTTAATAATGCACACATTCTTACATAGAACATGGTCAATATAAGACACTTAATGCATACATAGCCTTTCTTGTTTGAATAGCTTGATCTGGAATATACATGTTTGGAATATTGTGCACAAATATTCTTCTCAGTTAATTTCATAAAAGTAAGACGCTCTGGATATTACCTCAACCGGAGGGCTAGTTGTAATTTCTCTGCCATCAGGGGAATAATAAGTCTCGGTGTAATCTTTAGAAAAGAGTTCTCTGGAAAGAATGCAAAGAAGATGTTATTTAGCTAGCATTATTCCAAACATGTA